AAAAAAAAAAAAGAAAAGAAAATGCTAGTTGCAAATGATTTTAGTTATATGATGTTAAAAGGATGAGAAGAATTTGTCACTGTGAGAATTGACACCAGTTGGTTGTCACTGTGAGAATTGACACCAGTTGGTTGCATGGCATAATGGAAAGGGGCTCAATTTTAAAATGAAATAACTCTTTTAACTTATTGCCAGTATAACCATCAGAGATTAACATAGCTGGGCTTAAATTTATTGAAAACATTGTTTTTTGTTTGTTTGTTTTTTTAATCTACCCCACTTACCTTTTTTCCTTAAACTGTTTATTGTATATGTATTTAATAAAATGGTCCTTACATTTGTTCCTATTTTAGAATATAAACAGGCAAGAATCATCTTGTTTGCTGGTGCTGCATATATCATAGTCTTATGTTTGTACACGTGAATATATTTGAAGATAATAAATTTGGGTTCTTTTGGGAGACGTTTAGGTACGTGCAGTGGTTTAGTTAGATCTCTGGATTATTTACACTTGAATCAGTTCAGTGAGAAGAAAGCCTTGCTATAGCTTCACTATGTAACTTTAACTTTTTTTGAAAAAAAGATTCACATAAACATCTGTGTGCATGTATCTCATCCAAACCCATTAAATTTCAGCAAATCTTCAAGAGATAACATAATGAAGGACCTCCTTTTTTTCAAATAAATAGGCAGATAATGAGCTGGACAGTGGTTGGGTGGAGAATAGAAGATAGTAGGTCTAAGTTTTAATTTTCTGGTTTGTTAAACTGTGACAAGTATAATAGAAATTAATTATAGGACTATAACACAATTATTTGTACAGTCATAATTTTTCTTTGGGAAAAAATATGACTAACACTGCCTTTCTCTTATCTACCAGAAAGAATGTTGGGCTATACTTAGATTAAATTTGTTTGCATGATATATAAATTTATGCAAAGTTGGGCTAATAAAAGTTAGAAATACTGACTTGTACAGGAGTACCTTTATTTGGGTGTATGATTGCTGAGTTGCAGCCCAGAACTTTTTGGGACTTTTGTTTTGCCTTGTTCTCGGAAAAGGTTTTTAGTCTTTTCCTGATCCTGTGCATTAGTATTGGCTTTCGTCATATGTGTATGGTATAAGAGGTATGTCAGGTATAATTATGTGCTAAAACTAAACCAAGTGTATTAGTCTGTTCTCACGCTACTAATAAAGGCACACCCAAGACTGGGTCATTTATAAATGAAAGAGGTTTAATTGACTCACAGTTCCACATGGCGGGGGAGGCGTTATAATCATGGCGGAAGGCAAACGAGGAGCAAAGTCTTATCTTACCTGGTGCTGGCAAGAGGGCTTGTGCAGGGGAACTCTCACTTATAAAACCATCAGATCTCATGAGACTTATTCACTATTATGAGAACAGTATGGGGGAAACCGCCCCGCCCTTGACACATGGGGATTATTACAATGCAAGGTGAGATTTGAGTGGGGACAGTCACAGCCAAACCATATCATCAAGGGAAAACATTAAGACTGGCTCATTGTAAGGGTAGCGATTATAAAAGTAAATGTGAGAAATTACCCAAAATTGTTTTTCACAGCTGCAAAGTACTCTTTTGTATGTATGAATAATGTTATACCAATCTCCTGTCTTTGGACATTTAAATATATTTCAGTGTTTTGCAATTACAAATAATCTTTTAATAAATAACATGGTGTATATATATTTTCACATTGTTTGAGGTATATCTTCAGTATAAATTCCCAAAAGTAGAATTGCTGGGTTGAAGAAAAAATACACATGTAGATCGTGACAAATTTCCCTCCTTGGGATTGTACTATTTTGCATCAGTAATGTATGCGAGTGCCTGTTTCATCACAGCCTTGCCAACAGAGCGTATATGATGTCAAAGATAAAGCCAGGTACTAGTTAAAGTGTTGAGGACAGATTTTAATCAGAAGATATTATTGTAATAGGGAAAATAGTCCAGTGTGAACTGACTCAACTTTGATTTATACAATGGTGACTGGGCATTTTTTAAAGGGAAAATGAGGGAAGGGGTTGAGCAGGGCTTAGTGGAGTCAGAAAAGTGAATATTTACAAAAAGTGAGAAGGGAGTTAGTCCATGTGAAACCCATTTGTATTTGCTAACTGATGTTTATGGAAATTAGGCTCCTACCCTCTCACAGAGACTGGGGTACAGGGGCCCTATCTTCAGATGTTGGAACAAACAGTACATTTTTTTTTTCAAGTACATTGGCAACCTTGAGTTTTTTTCAGGCTGGCACTTTAAGGGGGGGCTGAAGTCATCCTAGGGGTGTGACTTGAGTCATTAGAGACTCTGTTAGGTGTTTCGTCCAAGTTTTTTTAGGCCATGGTTAAGAAGATAGCTGAGAGGAGCCTCACTAGAGTTTGGTTAAGGAGAGAATGTCAGTGCTCAGCTTTAAGATTGAGATTGGTGAGAATCTTTGAGATTGGTGAGAATTTGCATCTTATTGTAGTTTTAATTTATATTTGTCCTATTACAAGTAAAGTTGAACATGCTTTTCTGTGTTGAAGGGCCATTTTTATATCTCTGTTCATGAAGTATGTTCATGTGCATTTTTTCTCATTTTTTTTGATAGGAGTTTTAGTCTTTTCTTTTTTTCCCAAACTTTTAATAATTCTATATAAATGTGAAATATCAGCTCTTTATTGTGAATATATATTGTGAATATTTTACAGATTTGTCATTTGTCTTTTGACCTCACATATGGTGTTTTTTTGCTATATAAATTGTTTATTTTTTATATAGTAAAATCAAATGTTACTTTTATTGCTTGTAAATTTTGTGTTGTAATTAGAAAGTCTTTTTCTATATCACTGTTAGAGAGACATTGATTCATGTTTTCTTCTAGTATAGTTTTATTTTTGACATTTAAATATCTTATTCATTTGGAGTTTATTCTTACGTATTCTTGAGGAATATGTCTAATTTTATCTTTTTCCAGCTAACTATACAGTTATCCCAACACGATTTGTGAAGAAAAGACTATCTTCATCTAAGTGATGTGAGATGCCATCTTTATCATATACCAGATTTTTTTATAAGACCAGATCTTTTTCTGTACTTTTTTATTGGTATCTCAGTAAATTTACAAATTTACTCGGGAAGAATTGACATCTTGATGATGTTGAGACATCCTAACCAAGAATAAGGGATTTCTTTCCTTTTGTTCAAGTCTGTTTTTATGTCTCTTGGGGGTGTTTCATGGTTTTCTTCTTGATTTTCAATCATTTCTTATTAAATTCCTAAAAATTCTCTCTTTTGTTATTATAAATGAGGGTTTCTCATTCAGTATCTCTTCTAAATATTTATTTGTATACAAATGCCATTGGTTTGGGCATGTACATTTTATAACTTGCTTCCTTGCTGAATTCTTTTATGGTTTGAATTAGTTTTATTATTGGTTCACTAGGAATTTCCGGGCATATTTTTATGTCATTAGCAGATGTAGTTTTATTTTTTCTTGTCCTATTCTTTTGCCTCTGTTTTCTGTAATCTGATTACATTGGCTTGTACTTCTGAATCGTTGTTAAATACCAGCCCATCTGCTGTGAATCAAACAAAGAAATTATTGAATTAGCAAGTGTTCTCATAAATAGCAGTGTAAACAGTTAAATAGTAATGGAGATAATGGGCATCATTTGTGTGTGTGTGTGTGAGACCACAGTGGTTGTGCCTTAGAGTTTTCTCATATTAAGGAAATACTTATTCATTCTTATTTCCTCATGTGTTTTTGTTAGGAGTGGGTTTTGAATTTTCTTAAAGCCCACTGTGAGAAATTTTTTTAAAATCAGCATCTATTGAGATAAATCACTTGATTTTTCTCCTGAGACCTATTAATAGAGCAAATTATATTAATAGATTTTGTAAGATTAAGCCATTCTAGCATTCTCGGCATAAACCCCACAGTCTGTTTCCAGAGCTTAACTTCTTTATTTTAGTACTTCCTAGTTTAGTTTCAAAGATTTGATATACTTAACGTGGAAGTGTAGTAAATCATGTAAGTTAGTATTTTTATTACTTGCCAAAACAATGTTTTGGTGAATGAGTTTAGAGGGAGAGATCATTACGGGAAGAAAAAGCCTTTTGAAAGAGCAAGGACCACTACTAACTGTGACATCATGAGCATCAGCCATACCATGGAAATACTTGCCATAGCCTATTTCTACTAGCTGTTTATCTTGGGGAGTTTACTTCCACCAGAGTCTTCATCTTTCAGTATTTCATCAGCATAAGTTGTAGTCAATTGATCACAAACTAAAGAAATGCTAGAAAATCTCAAATGATGGAGCAATTGCTGCATTATGACAAATGGGAAGCCTACAAAATAAAATAAAATAAAAGGGCAGAATGGCAAGTTGGTTGTTTTTACAAAGGGAAACAAAATTCATGTACTTCCATTAGGGAGAAGATTTGAGTTCATATATTGTTTTATAACCTTGTTTATGTTAGAAGTTATTTTAAAATGTTATTGTCAGACATAGAGTATCTATTCCATATGATTTAAAAATCTTAGAGATTGTCAAAGATATTTACTTAATTTACACAAATGAAATGATAGAGTTGTAAATCCAACTTCCTTTTTGCAAGTTGTGATTGAAGTCCAGGCTATGTAAAGCTGTATTTGCATGTTTAGGATCATGTCTTTCAAAAAATGCATTTGGGGATGTTTACACTGCTATTTATGGGACCAAGTGCTATTTCAGTAATTTCTTTATGGTTCTATAACTACAGATTGATTCACAGCTTATGGGCTGATATTCTTAATGTGTACAAAAAAGCCATGTTGAGGTGGGAAGTATTTAAAATATTTTTTTCTCACCATTGAGTTTTCTCTTTAGATAAGTCAGTTGAAGACATTTTCTTAGTTATTTCTAATTTTTGAATGTATTTGATTAATAACATATTTTATTATAACTGTGTTAGAGTAAACATAATAAATTGAAAGTTGTCTCTTCTCATTTTCTTTAGCATGTTACACCAGACAGCTATATTCCATGCCTTGCAGACCTATGCAAAGCACTGTGGGAAGTTATGCTCAGCTATTATAGGACTATGGAATGGCATGAAAAGCATGACAACGAGGATACTGCTTCAGCTTCTGGTAGGAAAATATTTTTATTTTATTTTAAAAATTGAACTATAAATATCCCACATTACTGGAGTAAGAAGAAAGGAAAGGGGCAGGAATACCTCTGGGATTTCGAGGATTACAGTGACCATAGGCTAAATATTGAGCAAATAAAGTGATTCAGCTACTTCAAATGTTCTATTACCTTTAGAGAGTAACTGGGTCAAAGGACTTTTTAAGTGGCACATAGTACCAGTTTACAGAAGTGTGTGCTGATGGCTTTAGGACTGAATTTATAAATTTTTGTTGTTGTTAATATTATTAGTTGCAAACTAGATAAGACATTGGTCTGTATAAATTTACTGTGAAATTAATGCTAGATGGTCCATATTAATCTATTTGGCCCATTTTCAGGTTGCAGTAATAAAGCTAGGTTCTAAGAATCAATAATTATATTGATACTTTCCTTCCTGAAAACGAAGCTAGAATTTCATTTTAAAAATGATGTCTTAAAATATTAATCTTTGAATGGAAAATATAACTTTAAATGACTATGGTATAGTCAGCTAAATAATAAAGAACAAGTCTTTGAAAAATTATTGTATTTATTAATCATTCTATTTAAATTGCTTCATTTGTATAATTATTTATCTTAAGTGATTATCCTTGAGCAGTAGCTGAGATTAAATATTCAGAATACTTATAAAAACAGTAAATGATTTTATCAGTGTTTTGTTTAATATGGACAAAATAAATTATACTGCACATCTTTTTTTTTTTTGTATTACATACAATTTATTGTAGCTATTCAATCAAATTACTTTAGTAACTTCCAGTTTCTTAGGTTCTTATTTTCTGTTGTTGGGTGAGTGGACAACACACCCAAATCTCACTGTTTGATTAAACGTTTTGGTAGTTTAGAAGGCATTAGTTTAATCTTTGTCTTGACTTACAAGAAGCTTGTAAATAGAGAAAACAAAATAAGAGGAAAATTATATGAATGGATTTTTATCCACTTAGAAGTATTATTGGGGAGAGTAAAGGAAGGGAGAGAAAGAGGAGAAGGCAGAGAGAAGGATGGACACACAGCCAGGATTCCAGGTCAGACTATTTTTACCCAAAACTTGTACTCTTACCCTGTACTACCTCTGGGACCATGGGCTCTGCAATCTGAGAGGTCTGGCTTCAAGTTTTCACTTAGGTTTACCAAAGGTGAGAACTTGAAGACACTGCTTATTTTTTCCACTCTTCAGTTTGCTCCTAAAAGTGATCAGTTAAAAAGCAAAGCAAAACCAAACCAAACACTTAAAGAGTAGTAACACATATACCCTACAGGGTCGTTGTAGAGTTTGGACAGCATGTAAGGTACTTACATTGGTGGTGGTTAATATGATGAAAGGAAATGGATCAAGAGATAATATAATAATAGTGAAATACCTGGAGACTGTTAAGACATATTGCTTTTCTAGTACATTATTCAAGGAGAAACCAAAGAAAAAGTTTGGAATAGAATTAACACATATTTTAGATATCAGAATTTAGGTGACTGTTATCTATTATTCATCATGGTAAAGCTTGCTTTTCGCTTTAGGCCAATAGTTTACATTCATTGGAGTACTGAGTCAAACTTAAAACTCTATTTGATCCTTATTACTCAACCCTCTTTGCTAAAATTTCTTCACCCTAATATGTATGTTTTATGGATATCAAGTGCTCAAGTAGTCAGCTGGTAGTATCTAGGACTGTAAAAAGTTATTTGTTCACCTGAAATTAATCATATTATATCCAGGACTAAAATTGTAGAAATTAGTAAATTGAAAATTACTCTTCATGGAACTTCATAAAACTGAAGAGGACTCTAGACTTTATCTGCTGTATCTCTTTAATGATAATATTTGATATTGTTTGATAACCTAATACTTTAATGTTCTAAGATAAAGCTCTAAAGCTCTAGTTCAGGTGCACTGCTTTAGGCTGCTGGATCCTTAACAGCCATACCATGCGTGTAATAATAAGGCTTATGTTTTAGGAGTGCTCAGAGGCAAACTAGTCATGTATCTATGTATCTGAGGCCTGGCATTTCCAAGGACCTTTTACTAGTTATCAGTGGACACCTTCCCAACCTGAGACAAGATGATGACATACTTGCTTAGGTGTTCTACACAGGATATTCACACAAAAGCTTCATCTTTTTAATATGAATGTGTATGTGTATTTTTCAGTTGTCTTTAGGGGGAGATTGGTGGCAGATCACTGATCTTACCTATTAAACTAGACATTGTTAAATTATCTGGAGTGGATAAAACTATTATTCGTCATGAAAAATATAAAATATATGCATTATCACCTCACTGCCTGAGCTGTTAATGTAGACTGCCCTCTTAGCATGCATGCTAATTGCTAATTTGGTTAATTGGTCCTGTAATGTCCTTCTCACAGCCTTCTACATGGTCTTGCAGTAGGCAGTATTAAGAACCTGGTCTTTGGGCCCACACTGACTCAGGTAGATTCCCAGCCTCAGTCACATATGATCTCAGTGGTCTTAGGTATAGTTAGCATTTCATAGTCTAAGTTTATTTATCTTACCAAATGGGTTTACTTCTAATACCTATTGTTTGACATTGTTTTGATTGTATAAATATCAAACATATTTTCTGTGTCTTACATAGACTTATAATGTATGAGAGGCCAAATAGAAAATATTTGGAAAACAAACACAAATTGGATTAAATCTAAAAATATTTATGTCTTTTATTTTCAGAAGGGAATAATATGATAGGTACTGAAGAAACTAATTTTGATCGTGGCTACATAAAAAAGAAATTAGAACATGGACTTACACGAATATGGCAGGTTTGGTTTTTTTAATATTATTTTTTTCACAGAAGCAATATAATTGTCATGTCAAAGTTGTTTTAGAAATTCAGTTTTAAGTTTTCTATATGTGTATTCTTTGCAGATTTAATCATATGTTTCTGTTTGGAATTAGGCTATCATTTAATTTCTGTAATGTATTTGGTGATTGTATTTGCACTATGAGTGGCAGGAAGAAAAAAGACGTAATTTGAAAATCTCCATTGGAAATATTCATATATGCCTTGAGTACATTTTTTGTTTTAGAGGCCCAGAGAATTTCCACTATCATAAAGAAATGTATGTTTTCTCAGTGAGATGTTCTGTTTATTTTTATTTCATTTATCTGTGTTTTCTTAATTTTTTTTTTCTGTTAATTTTAGAAAAGGAGTAACTAAGTAGGTAGCATACTTAGGTCAGATTATAGCTCAGAATGAACAATTTGTTTTTTTTCTCAGTCAGTGATCTTTGTGCCTTGAGGGAATCTTACATGCTAATTGGCTGAATATATCTGGTTTTAGCCCATTTGGGCTCCTATAACAAAATATTCTAGACTGGTTAGTTTATAAACACAGAAGTTTATTTCTCAGAATTCTAAAGGCTGGAAGTCAGAGAACCGGGTACCAGCATTGTTGGAAGGGCCTGCTTCCTGGTTCATAGACATTGTGTTGCTGTATCCTCAAATAGTGGAAGGGATGAGGGAGCCCTCTGGGGTCCCTTCTATAGGGGAACTAATGCCATTAATGACGACTCTACCTTCTTGATTTAATCACCTCACAAAGTCCCCACTTTCTAATATATTATCACCTTGGAGGTTAGAATTTCAGTATAGGAATTTTGGGTAGACACAAACATTCAGTCCGTAGCAGTATCTTATTAAGTTTTTCTTTGCAATTTAGTAGCTCAGTTGTTATAATCAGATAATTTGTTACTTCTTAGATCACAGTGTAATTTCTTTGAAGATAACTTACTCTTTTTGGACTTCTTTGAACCCTGGAAGACTATAGACCCTTTGGCCGTGTTATGGTCTTTTAAAATGTATTTTTGATTTTTCTAATGAGGCTGATCTTTATTTTGACCATCTTTTTTTTTTTTTCTTTATATTTATTTATTTACTATTTTTTGAGGCAAGGTCTCATGTTGTCACCCAGGCTGGAGTGTGGTGGCAGAATCATGGCCTAGTGCAGCCTCGACCTCTTGGGCTCAGGTGATCTTTCTGCCTCAGCCTCCTGAGTAGCTGGGACCACAGACATGTACCACCAGGCCTAATTTTCTTAAATTATTATTTGTGGACATGGGGTCTTGTTATGTTGCCCAGACTGGTCTTGAACTCCTGGGCCCAAGTGATATTCCCGCCTTGGCCTCCCAAAGTGTTGGGATTATAGGCGTGAGCCACAATGCCCAGCTTGACCATCTTTTATAGGATGTGTTTTGAAAAAAATTGTTTAGGAAAACTTATTTTGAGAACGTAAATTTCTTCATGAATCAGTATTTATAATTTAGTGCTCTTCTATTTTTGATAATTTTGTATTGGATATGCTATTTGATTTTATACTTTAGTATTTGAAATTTATGTAGTGGTTGTAAGAGGTTTGACATATTTTCTCATTTGACTGTATTAAACTCATATAACCATATTAAACATTTATTAAAATTAAATAAATATTTAATGTATCATTGTGGATTTAGGCTGACTTTTTTCTGAATAGTAATGCATAAAAAGAAAGGAAAATCTTATAGTTATTGATTATACACCCAGGGTCAGATATGATTTGTTTCTGACTTAGTCTCCCAGTAGGCCTTAATTGTACTTAGTTAAAATTTTACAATCTATGATAGAATTTCTGGTAATTCAATGTACTTGGAAATACTGACTTGGCACTTTATGTAGCTAGTTTCCATTCAGTTTGGCAACCTGATGGCATTCCTGATATAGGAAATGGGATTGTCTCTATTATATCTCCCTTAAGGATGTTGGCTATTGGCCTAAATAGATACTCATTAACAAATTAGGAATATATTCCTGTCTCATTTTAATCTGGAACTATAGAGTAAATGGTTCTGATAACTTATTTTCTGTATTTTGGGTTTGCCTGATTTTTTTTTTTTCTTTGTCTTACAGGATGTTCAGCTAAAAGTAAAAACCTACTTGCTTGGAACCGATTTGTCTATATTCAAATATGATGATTTCATCTTTGTTTTGGACATAATCAGCAGGTAGTGTTTAAGATCTTGTCTTATTCTTTAGTTTGAGTCATTCAACCATGATAATCAAAGAAATCATGAACCTAGTGAGCTCTCATCTATAACTTCTTTATGGAAATGAAGATAATTTTTGCTGCTAAGTTTGTGAGTGTATTTAAATATTTCTGCCCTTTGGATGTTTGTAAACCTTTATGAATTTGTGGTCTTTAGAATTTTTTCACATATCCAAATTTTAGCGATTTTTTTTAGTCTTTGAAGAAAGAGAACCCGCACTTCTTTTTCTCTATAAGGATGTTGCTGAAATTTACTGAAACCTTTTTATCCAACTAGGTTGATGCAAGTTGGAGAAGAATTTTGTGGTAGCAAGTCTGAAGTTTTACAGGAATCTATTAGAAAACAAAGTGTCAATTATTTCAAAAATTACCATAGGTAAGAACTCTAATAAAATATGAATGGACTTATTTAGGTAATGAGAATACTTTTGTCTAATACTTAATCTTATAGCATTAATTGATTTTAAACGATTACTTTTGAATTTGAATGTGTTGTAGCTTTTTTAAGATGGCTAAGGATTTTTTAAACCAAAATATGATGAAATGTTCTCATTACATATTCATTGTACATTTTAAAATATTCTTTGTCTTGAGGGGCTTAAAATATTGAACTGATTTCTTTATGAGTAAAACATGATTATTAGATCAAGGTTCACAGAAAGAATTTGGCTGCTGTTCCATTACCTGCATACATATGCGTGTGCTTATAAGGGAGTTAAATCAGTGCTCAGTGAGGGGGTGCTTGAGAGTATCTATCTTTTAGAAGTAAGAAGGCTTCTACAGGAGAGGATGTGATATTCAGAATTTCGCTATAAAGCCAAATTTGTATACTTCATTGCTTTGCAAAACAATCACTGCTAATATTTAAAAGAGTGAGTAGGAATGATTTGGGTAGAGGAGGAAGGTGGGAAAGAATGTTCATAATAGCGGTGTGATTATATACTTACAGCAGCAGTAAATTGAAGGAAGGGAGAGCTAACATTAGATTTTTCTTCATATAAGCTAGACCCCAAGTTGTATCCCTTACATGTATTTTGTCCTTTGAGTTGAGTTTCATGTTACTTTTTATTCGGAACTTTTACTTTTTACAATTGAATTTAAGTTTTGATTTCCTTATTTGGTGCCAGAGAGAGTCATGATTTGAAATTCTGCTTTTGCTCCTTGTTCATAGTCAGTACCTCCTCACAGTGATATATGCCGTGTCAAAAGAGAGATGACTGAACACCAAACCGTTGATTATTATTAAATATATTTGAATACAAGTTGTCTGTGTTAATTGTAAACAAGTAAATTGTTTGAAAAAGATTTAAGTTGAACTATACCAAAGCAAAGCCCTTGAGTTTCACAACTGAGAGTGTTTAAAAATTTTTTAGAAACTTAATTGAATAAACCTCAGGGAAACGGTGGGAAGGGACCAACAGGAAACCCTAACACTGCGTTTATTTATAACTTCCTTGTCTGCTAAAACTTAAGCCCTGACTAAATGAAAAGGCTGGCCCTATTAACATTCCTGTATAGAAGGGGGAGGGGCCTGTTAATCATGGATAGGGAAATAAAATGGAAACACAAAGGAGCCAGAAGCCTCACTTTCCTTGCAGTATGAAGGCACACCAAATGTCTCTCTTCCCAGAGATTGCTTCATATCCAACATGACAACTGGGATCACTTTTGGTGTTCCCAGTGTCTAGGATGTGTGTACAATATAAAAACACTGATTTATTTAGTGGCTTCCATTCTGCATTCTGTTTTACTTATTATCAAAAGGTGTCTGTCATCTGTAGCAACTAGCTAGGGGCATTTTGACCATAATGGAAATTCCTCACAGAGTTCACATTAATGAAATTAGAGAATACAGAAACGAATCACTTAAATCTTCCCCAAACACTCAACATTTTAAAGAACTTCTCTTAGAAACATTTGTGAAACTTATTTCTCATTGAAGCGGCTGTGCTATATTATTAGAAGTAAAGCTGGGTTGAGTAATGGTAGACTTGGGTTATTGTCCCATTTTTTGCTGCTTACCAACTGTCTGATATTGGCAAATCACTTAACCTCTCTGGCCTGTGATTCTATGAATTGTAAAATGAAGTGGCCAGATTAAAAGGTCTCCATAAGTGTTGCCTAGACATCTTGACCCGTTTTCTTGCAGTATTGTATATTGTAAAAATTGGGGCAGGTTAAACAGCAAAGATTTAATTATTACTTAGTATTCTTCTTTTTCCCTAGTATTTAAACAGAAGTTTAAGGTAGTCTAGTTTCTGTCCTGTCTGTAGTCATTTTTGCTCTGACAGTTGCATCGGGAAAATTACGGTGGAAGTCATTTCGTAAAGTTGGTGCAAACCATCAGTGTGTTCTAAGGTACATTTATTTCTTTACAAAACAAGGTAAACTTGACACGAACTTTAGAAATGATGCTAGTGTCCATACATTGAATTAACTAAAGTCATTACGTTAGCCAGTGATAAATCTAAATCTGCAAAATCCCAATTTAATATTCCCTTTGCCAATCATACTAAATAAATACTGAAAAACTATATGGAACATGGTGAAATATAGATGAAGTGTGTTCTTACTTTGCTAATAGAAGTGTTTAAATGTGCATACAGTTTGTTTCATAGTCCTCTGCTGCCAAATAGAGCTCTTGAGGATGAAGAAATTCTTGAACCAAATTATTCTGACTTTGAGTCCATTTAAGCTATTGGTTTGAAGTTACAGGGATAATAAAAACATAAAAATAGGAGCAGTTTCTTTTTGGTGGAGCATCTACTTATGAAATGTATTAATGTTAGTTGTGGTAGTCGTATAAAAGTTTGCATTCCACTATCTTTTTCTAGGATAAAACTGTATGAACATATGAGGGAACACAGCCCCTATTATTGTTTCTACTTCTCAAAAGTATAAGTTTCATTTCCCCCCATTTTTTAAAATATTCAGATACTAAGTTTATGTACACCCAAAGAACACTATTCTGTCAGATGTTGGAGAATTTCTAAAAGCATAAATATTCTAATTTAAACATTAATGACATAAAAATTATAGAGCAATGTATAGTTGTCAAAATATTCTATTTAATAAGTATATTTTATTTTGTAATTACTCTAGTAATCAAAGCTTATAAAATGTTTTCAAGGATCCTAAAATTGCATTGACTGGTGTTAGAATAGAGAAGTCACCTATCTTTTTAGAAGAAAATACAACAAAGTAGATGAAATAAACAAATTCCTTATAAAGCCAAACTTAATGAGCTCACAAAACAAAATATAGAAAATATGAATAGTCCGATGTCTTTTGAAGAAATTATATCTGGGCTTCAAAACATTTCCATAAAGAAATCTCCAGGCCTGCTGATGTCACTGGTAAATTCTACCAAACCTTAAAGGAGGAAACAATACCAACACAACTCTTTCATAAAATAGAGAAAGAGGGAATGTTTTATAACTTATTTTATGAGGCCAGCATAGCATTGATACCAAAGCATAACAAGAGGACATTAAAAAAGGAAAATGACAGACTAGTATCTCATAAGAACATAGATGCAACATCCTAAACAAAATATTGGCAAATTTAATTCAGTGATACCTAAAAAGGTTAATATGCTGTGAACAGGTAGGATTTATTATAGGAGAGCGTGAGTTGGCTAAACGTTAAATAAATTAAGAAATTTAATTTACCAATTGACAGAATACAGGAAAATATCATAGTTATTATTTTAATAGATGGAGAAAATAATTTTGATAAAAATTCTACCCCAGTTCATGATTTTGAGAAATTGTGTTTTTGTGTAATTTTAACTTTCCTTCTAATTATGTTCTCATATTTAAAGTGTGCCCTTTGTTAACAGCTTATCAAGTTTGGTCTCGTTTTGTTGTTGTTGATGTTGTTTTACTAACGGAGAAAAATATATATAATATAAAAAGTAAAAATATATATGATTGATCCAAAAAATGCAGAAAGAGAAAATTTCTTTAAAATATTTAACATTTTTAGATATCAAACAGCAATATGATGGGTTTAAACCTATTAATAATTATGTCAATAAATACATTAAATGTAAATGGAAAAACGGTTATATGAAAACATAACAGTTGTCAGACAAGATTTTAAAACAACATTAGGGGCCAGGCGCAGTGGCTCACGCCTGTAATCCCAGCACTTTGGGAGGCCAAGGCAAATGGATCACGAGGTCAAGAGTTCAAGACCAGCCTGGCCAAGATGGTGAAACTCAGTCTATACTAGAAATACAAAAAAATTAGCTGGGCATGGTGGCAGGTGCCTGTAATCCCAGCTACTCTGGAGGCCGAGGCAAGAGAATCGTGTGAATCTGTGCGGCAGAGGTTGCAGTGAGCCAAGATCACGCTACTGCACTCCAGCCTGGGCGACAGAGTGAGACTGTCTCGGGAAAAAAAAAAAAAGTACATTCTTGTAATGGTTACTGCCAACATTTCAATATGCACTTATGTTCTACTGTAGTCTACCTTAGGTGGTATACTTCCAGAATAATGCAGGAACCAACTTTGTAACTGCGTTTACCTTCTCTTACCTTTTTGGTGTTTTGTCATATACTTTTACTTCATATATTATTTTGTATACATTTTTTATGCCTAGGGTTGACTACGCTTCTTCAATCTGGGTTGTACCTTTTATCACTGTATTAGTTTTAAATTACTGTGTAATAAATACCACAAACCTGTCTGGAAGAGACAGGAAGCAGATTATCCCCTAGGGCCTCCAGAGAGTGGAGCTCTGCTAACACCTTGATTTCAACCCACTGATACTGATTTTCAGGCTCTGGCCTCTAGAACTGTGAGAGAATAAATTTCTGCTTGTTTAAGTCACCTAGTTTGTGGTAATTTGTTACAGCAGCCACAGGAAACTAATACAGAGTAGAACTACTGGGTCCTGTGGTAACTCTCTCTGTTTAACATTTTGAGGAACTGAATCACACTTTTTTCCAAAGTCATGATACATTTTACGTTCCTACTAATACTGTATGAGGGTTCCAATTTCTCCAAAACTTTGTCACCACCTGTTGTTTTCTGTCTCTGATTATGGCTGTCCTAGTAGGCATGAAGTGGTATCTTATTATGTTTTGGGTTTGCATTTCCCTGATAACTAATGATGTTTAGCAGCTTTTAAGGTGCTCATTGGCCTTTTGTATATCTTCTTTACAGAAATGTTTGTTCAAAGCTTTCGTCCATTTTGAATTGGGTTATTTGTTTTTTATTGTTGAGTTGTCAAGTTTTGTACATTTAGTTCTTACCTTAGGACTGTGATCCACTTGAGGTAATTTTTGTATGTGGTATGAGCTATGAGCACAATCACTTTTGGGAATTCTTGGCCATTATGTCTTCAAATATTGCTTTTGCTTATTCTCTGTCCTTTCCATCCCATTGCCTGCATAATAAATGTTTTGACTATCTCACATATCTCTTATGATCTTTTGTTTCTTCCTTTTTTTTCGAATTTTTGCTTCAGTTTAGATATTTTCTATTGATCTTTGAGTTCATGAATGCCATCTTCAGCCACCCCTAGACTGCTGTTTTACTTATCCAATCAGTTTTTAATTGGAAGTGTATTTTTCAGTTCTTGAATGTCTATTTGATTCTTTTATTGTTTGTTTTTCTTATTGCAGTTATGTGAAATTCTCTTTTCTATCCATTTTATACATTTTTTCTATTTTATTTAACTTATAATAATTATCTTAAAGTCCTTGTCTGTTAACTCTAGTATTTGGAGCAATTCCTGATTTTTACAGATTCATGTATTTATTGTCTCTTTATTTTGAACCTGTGGATTTAAAAAAATCTAGATTTCATTTTTAGCGTGGTACTAACATCTTGTGGTAGAAAGAGGAAGAACAGGGCAGGCACTGGCCCTTTTGTCAACTGAAAATAAGGTTTGTTTTTCTGGGACTGCCTATATCATGTGCTGATTACTCAGGATAGACAGTAAGAACAATAGCATTAAAGAAAGAAGAGATCAGTATGGCATAAGTGATTAGTGGAATGTCAAATATATATGTGTCTTACCTGCTCACGTAATTTGTAAATGCTTTGTAGAGACAGGCACTGAGCTAAATGTTTTCAGAAAGTGATAATTATCTTGCTATTGTAGCTTTACTAGGTATGATTCAGATCTGTGCTGTTTAACGTAACGTGTTAGTATTTATGATCTCATATAATCTGTAGATTTTTCTCTATGTTTTAGCATCGATATAGGTATCAGCTAAGGATATTTATGTGAGTTAGAGACAAGCTTTTAATTTAGTCCCCTAATAAAACTGTCATTTCCTATGCATTACTTTTGCAATATAGTAAAAATATTTAGTTTAGTAACATTTGAGAGAGTTTTTCTGTCAAGGATGATAAGATACTAACTAACAAAAGTAAACATTTCTGTCTACTGTATTAATCCCAATGGGTTCTCAAAATTGATTATGATCATGACATTAATCCTATAATTATTTGTATTGTACATTATTTCCTCAATTCTTGTGTGCAGTGCACTTTTCTCACTTTTTGGAGTGTTCATTTTCTTTTTTTAAGAACACGGCTCGATGAACTGAGAATGTTCTTAGAGAATGAGACTTGGGAACTTTGTCCTGTTAAGTCAAATTTCAGCATCTTGCAACTTCATGTAAGTGTTTCTTAAGAACAAAGAAATCTGTCGTTTAGTCATCTTTTTTACCCTTTTTCTTTGAAAAAAAAGTCCGCAAATATATGGAAACATTTATAAAATAAATTAAGGAGCAGTTTCTTATCTTCCTTCCTTGAAAGTCATTAGTTTTACAGGAATGACCCTTTTATGGTTGTGAAAAATCAGTCTTCTTTTATAAAATTCAGTTTACATACTTCAGGAAATCTCTTTTGCCTAAAAAGAGTTACAGTTAAAGTGATATTTTTTGTTTGTTTTGAATTCCAAAAAGGGCTGACTGCTGTATTTAAATTTTGCAAATAATTAATTAGCTATATTTTGGCATAGTTTAATACATATACAAATATAATACAAATAATTATATTTATAGAATTTTTTTATTCCTTAAAGGGACTAGTAAGTTCCTAATTTGTGCTGCAATTCTTAAATTTGCCTGTAATGAAAAAATGCCTCAGATATAAAAGAGGCACTTATAAAAAATACTCTTAACTAATTTGTATTAGTTAATCAGTTCCTCAAATACTTACAGAATAAGCAATCTGCGAAAAAGTCTTTAATTAGTTTGATTTTTCCCTTGGTTGAAACACATTGTAGATAAATATTCCTGTGTGAAAGATTGTGTTCTGCAAATACCAAGTGTCAAAATGCAGTGCATATAGTTAGATTCTTGTTCAGAAAGTACGGGGTCTTTAGTTTTTGCCTTTGGAAGGAATAGCTTTCTAGAAAGCAACTTTCTTACTCTGGATAAATGTACAGAATACATAATTAGAAGTTTTTTTTTGATAGGGATTGATTGTCTTTATGCTCATATTGTACAATAGCTTCTTATCCAGTTTTTTAATATTGTTTTCCTATTATAGAAATGTTAAAAACACTGGAACATAGTGATTATTAAATGCTTTAAAGACAGCAAAATTGATGTTAATGTTAATTAGTATTAACATAACAATTAACATTAAATTAACATAGGATTTACGAGTTCTCAAAGATTTAAGGTAATTCCTTAACATTATTTAGAATTCTAAGTTTAACATTCATTTTAGAATATCTATTAAATAATTTTATTTGAACTCCTTTTTAACCATCAGATTGTGTGTGTGTGTTGCGACATTGTCACACTTAGTATAATTGTAAGACATGTTTTTTAAAAAAGGCATGTTGAAGCATTCCCATCTAGGTGAACATTATCTCCTTTAAAGTAGTTACCTTGAAAACTATTCACAACTTAGTGTTCACCTGACATGCATTCCTGTGGATTGGATTTTCTAAAAATTAGTCTCGTTGATGTATATTCACTCCTTGTTTAGAATTATAAAAATAATGGCATGATTCTTAGGCATTATTAATGTATATGATTAAATGTATAGTTGAAATGTAAAAGGAAAATAAACACATATATCATTTAATACAACAAGTCAATGTACCTTTCAAGAATTTTAAGAATACCTTTCAAGAATATCATTGAAATTTATATTTGGGATTTAAATATTGGGATTATTCCATTTAGTGAAAAGAAAAATGTTTGTTAAATTTTGTGATAAATCATTAAATCAAGATTTTGGTAATTCAAAGGAACTTTAGAGATTATTCCCGCTTTTCCTCTAATTAGCTGTGTGAGGTTGAACTTTGCACTGAATCCCTTCAAACTGCCTCAGTTTCCTCATGTGATTAATGCATAATTTAGACTAGGTCTTACAACTCTTTAGCTTTGCTAGGAGTAGAGGACACATCATATGACTTTGGCATATATGTTCGTGTTGTCTGTTTCTTGGTATATAGAGAAAAGTAAATGAAAGTTTGTAGGCATCAATGTAACATATATACACTTCATACTTTGTTTCTGATGTATTTGTATAGAATATCTTAAGTGGTGCCAACATATGAAAAAGCATAGTGTTTTACTTTAACAATTAGTTTTCGTAAATGACTTTATTGATTAGGATTTTTGCTGTTCTGTTAAAATTTTTAGAAGACATCATTCAGATTTCTTAAGCTATTTTAAAAAATGATCTCCGCAGTTTCTTAAAGGAAGCCAAAAGTAGTTTGATGCAGATGATACTGTTTTAAGTGATATCATTCGCTGAGTTGTCTTTAGGAAAGCCTTTAGACATGTATTTCTAAGTGTGTACTTTTAGATAACTTGAAAGATTTAAAAGTCAATAACTTGAAGATCAAGATGTTGTTTTTCTGCTAAGTCTACATTTATATTGAGGGATTCAGTTTATGTGTTAGAATTTTATTGTTGCTAAAAGGTATCTGGCTCCTTTTTTAACATCTAGGAATTTAAATTCATGGAACAGTCTCGCTCCCCATCAGTTTCACCTAGTAAGCAGCCAGTCTCAACTTCTTCAAAAACAGTGACCTTGTTTGAGCAGTACTGTAGTGGTGGGAATCCATTTGAAATTCAGGCCAACCACAAAGATGAAGAAACAGAAGATGTCTTAGCTTCTAATGGGGTATGTGGTGTATGTGAAACATAAGTGAGATTTTTTTTAGTTTAAAACTGTTCTACTCAATGAGCAAGGCAATTTACTACATTGGCTATGAATTATTATTAAAAAAGATATCCATTTACTACCCATTTATGTATCCATTTACTACCACCCTGCCCACCTATATACTTAATGTATCTATGATATTACATTTATAGATAATGACTTTACAATATGCTTTGTTGACCTTGTCCTCTTGAATAGTAAATTTTCCCTTTATGTTTGCTTTGTTCTTATTACATGATGTTCTTATCAGGTTGCTAATCAAATAGTAGTATAATTTCTTCACTGAATATTTATGTGATATATTATGTGAATATGATGTGATATATTGTGAGATGAGTGAGGGAATGGATATCATCTACCCTTTTTCTCGACACCCTTTATGGGTCACAGATTGCTTTTGTTCCATGTCCCTTTGTCTAAGAGAAAGTGGTAATGTCTTGCTTAATTGCTTGGCAGGGATATTTTTTTGAGATTTAGAAGTACAATGTTTTAACAACACTTTTTAGGACCTCAAAAACAATATTAACTAGATGTAGTGTGAATTAATGTAAAGGATTTGAAGGCAGATAATGAATATCATCTTTATTATTTATCAGCTGTGTGGCCCTTGGCAAATTATTTTAACTTTGTGACCCTCCATTTCTCCATATTTACAGTGAGAGGAATGCTTGCTTCACAGCTACTTGCATGGTATTTTCACAGTATTTTACTTGACTTAATAAGTTGTTTGATGGTTTCTTCTGATCTTCATAATTTCCATAATGACTCAATATAATTTTTATTTTTGATTGATGAAGCTAAAGTGAAAACCATTCAGATGTGACAAAAATATGTTGAAGGATTTGTCTTTATATTTTATGTTAGTTTTAGAATTTATTTTTCATTTGGTGAAGATGAAATTCATGAAGTTTAAATTGTTTCATAGTAAGCCATATTTAAAATTATGATTCAGTGATTCTTTGTGACATTTTGCTTCTGTGAAATTGACTAAACTGAGAGGAATTTAAAGTCATTCCAATTATTTTGGAATAACATATCTCTCTATAAAAGTGATTCACTAACTAAAACTTACATAACCTTTGATTCCCATTATTTGCAGCAGTGTGTTCTATAAAGTTGCTGTGAATATTGATTTAACAAATACTCAACCATTACTCCCAGAGCAAATATAGGATTAGGTTCCTATAAGCCTCTGGTTACAACATATTTATCAGCCCATCAGTATATAATCTGAATTCATAGTCAACACCACCATAACTCTTGCCTAAATGAAGCTTATCAGACACACATATTTTATTTCTAAGGCACATCACAGCCTTCTTGTGCTTAGAAACACTAGACAGCACTTCAAGGCTACACTTGTGGTGGCATTCTAAACAGTTAAATCACCAACAAAAAGCACAAAAATACAAAGCACTTGGCACTAAATAGGTCATGAAAAGGAAACTTGTTTATAGTATGAGAGCCTAAGCAAGAAGACAGAGCATGCTTTGTATTCAGCTGGGAACATGCATGTTGGATGACTCAAACTTTTCACTGTACTGCACATTTATGAATGACTCCAGAAATATCATAAGTGTTGACTTTAGGGTTACAAATAAATTTCAGTGAGCAGGCAAATTTGCAAACATTGAATCCTCAAATAATGGGTATCTGTGATACGATGTGGTCACAAAACTCTGTTGTTGTAATCAGGACATCCTAGTTTGTGTAGAATACCTTTCTGCATAGCATCAGGATCACATTGTGTATAAGTATAAAGGAGTACCTGTAAGGCTTGTTTGCAGTTATTAATGTGTGATCTCATCTTCCCAGGTGCAACTTATGTCCTTGAGAATCAGGGTCCACATCTAAATACGACCTTTTTATTAACAGACTCTCAAAAAATAGTTGTTGAATTAGGGGACTAAATTATTTCCATGTTGTTATCATACTGGTTTTCTCAACTGTCATGTGGAGATAAAACTTCCTCAGAGAAGTGTCTGTACAATTAAATAATTCATGAAAGAACTTAGCATAATACTTGGTTAAAAACTCAATGTTAGCTATTATTTAATCATACTAATATTAGCCATTATTTAATCATATTAATCTATAACATTAATAGATGATGATGATGAAAGTGCTGTCACTGCTTCCTTTACTGTGCATGAATTCCACTGTCCTTTCCCGTGCTGGCATTGGGCCATGGTGCCATAAAGATGATGAAAATGTTAGAAAGACATCTTTCCTCTCAGGAGTAAATCCACCATTTTTGTCCTCATTCTCAGCAGGTCACTGTGTTCTAAGCTTAATTTTCTAAGCTGCCCTTGAAATTAACTCTTATAGTGAATTAAAACATCAGCATGTGTGTTGTGCATGTTTATTAAGCTGAAGTAATACTTCCAGAGTGCCAGAATTGGATATTGAACCTCTTTTTAATGAATTTTATTAGCAAATTGGAAATAAGTATGGTGAAACTTCTGAGAGACTTTAAGTTAAAAACAAAACAAAACAAAACAAAACAAAAAAACGTGCTTATGTGTACTCTTCTTCTCTTTTTAGGCCTAGTGGAATGTTTGTTAGGTTTTCGTTTATGGTGATTTTATTTTGTTGCACATTTTCAAGCTTTTATAGGTGTAATATTTTTCTTTTGTGCTGATTAAGGTAGAATGATGAAGACAATGGAAGAATAATCAGATTCTTGGTGACAACATTAAAACTAAACTACGGATTTTCTTGTATTTAGCGGTTTCTTGTAAAATTGAGTACTTTCGCTGTGTTGAGACACCCCACGAAACGAGGCCCTTTATACTCATTTTTTAATATCCTGTGTTTTCTTCAGTATGAATCTGATGAACAAGAAAAGAGTGCCTATCAAGAGTATGACAGTGACAGTGATGTTCCTGAGGAACTCAAACGAGACTATGTGGATGAGCAGACAGGAGATGTTCCTGTGAAAAGGTGATTGTTCTTAAATTGTGTGGTATTTAGCATTTTATCTTGTGCTCTTAACATATAGGATTTCCTTTAAGGTTAAGAAGAAACAAAAATTATGTTTTTTGGTACTTATTATGTCACCTGACAGAAGTTAGTATGTTTTAAATGATTCCTGGAAGGCTAAAAATGTGTTTTTCCTCCTAACATTTCATAACTGGATTTCATGAAAAATAAAATAGTTATATGAAAAGTTCTGCCTAGCAAAACCTTTGCCAGCATCTCACAAATCAGTTCATTTAACTATGAACTGGATTGTTAATGTGTCAAAAAAGAAATTGATTTAGCCATTTAAAAGTTCTTAAATGGCTAGTTTTAATGTAGCTTTCCTTTGAGTTATGTAGTGCGTTTGACATTGCTTTTTGTAGCAAGATTCTAATTCCTTTTTTATGGCATCACGAAGTTAGTCATTTTTTAAAATCTGTTAAAATTATTGTCGAAAATATTGGGCATAATCAAAGAGATTAGTTTTTGCAGAGGAAAAAGCCTTTAGATTTATAAAATCAATCCTGCCTTTGGTGGCCATTTATGCGATTTACATAGATAAATAAAAAACCTCAAGGAGAAAATGATCATTTGTTTTGTATGTGGAGTTCTTGCTTCAATCTTGTAAACACAGAAGATCACCACTTATTTCCCCTGTGTCATTTTTGTTCACTATTTGAACTTTCTACCAAGGTGTCCTATTAGTGGTTGAGTTTTGTTTTATGATAAACTGACCTCTTCAGAACTATGATAATTATAACAGAATTTTTTCTTACCTTTTGCCAGTTAAATGGGCCTGATTCTGGAATGTTGAAATGACTTGATTTCATGACTATCATACGTTTAGTGACTATAAATGTACTTTTTTTTCTTAATGGTAGTAACGATAAGTATACTCTTACCGTTTAACGCCAAGCTACCTATTTAATACTGTTTAACTTGAAATCCCGACTGAAATAATACTGTTTTCAAAAGTGAGCAATTCACGAAATTGTAGCTATTTTAATTGAAAAAATTTGTTCTATTGGTTTTTGCATATGTATGATATTAAGTGTCAGTATGATCTACTGTGAACTAAATAGAACTATTTTGTTGGAATTCTTTATTAGATGTTTTGGGCATATTTTGGCCAAAAGGAAAGGTCTATTTGAATTGAAATATACAAGTAAGATAGTGTCTGCCATGTGTATATACCTCCATTTTTGGTAGGGTTACTGCAGCCCCCTAAACTTACCCCTAAGAAGTTTGAATTGAACGAATTAGTGCCTGAAGCCAATACATTAAGAGTTATTATCAATTCTAACTTGTGTCTCTTGAGTTGACCACTTTTTCTGGCATTTCACCACTACCATTCTAGTTTATCCCAAAATTATCTCTGTGCCAGATTATTAAATCAACTCCTTTACCTTGGATTCTTGTCTCTAGGCTTGCCCCATTCCAAACAACTCTTAGATTTAAATTTAGGGTTGTTTTTTTTTCATAGTTACAAATTTAATCTTGCTGTTTTTCTGGTTAGCTTTTAGTGACTCACCACTGTATTCAAGATAAGGTTCATATCCCTCAGGTTTGATTGCTTTCAGGGATATCCGGCCTTTACTTGCCTCCTTTCTTATTACTTTCCCCTCTGTTCATTTCTTCTACTTGCGAATGTGGTGAACTCCTTGTACTTTTCTGAGCACACTCTGTTCTCTCTTATCTCTAACCCTGTTTTATGCTGGCCCTTTTTTCTGTGCTGACCATATAACTTTTACTTTTCTTTTGAACCTAACCTAATGCTGCCCCTTAACCCCAAATACTGTCACCAATATTCTCTACTTAATTCAGATTCTTAGGAGGGTATTTTTTCATGTTTATAAGTTTCTGAAATCAAGAAACATAGTACATCTGCACCTAGATATGTAATTATCTTGGAAAATTTGTTTTTTAAAGTGATTAGTTTTTTTAGTGGTTGATAATGTTTTATAATCGAAGAAATGCATTATGGTACTTATTTTTTTGCTTACTTATTTCCCTTATGTATTGTAAATTTTATAAGGATAAGAAGTTAATCTCTATATCTTTACCTAATGCATAGTACGATTTTCATTAAATAATTAGTTAATAAAGGCTATGGACTAATCTGAGTAACTTATTGGTTTATTACTTGACAACTCTAGCAACTCTGTTTTGTTTTTTCATATAAAGTGTTTCTCGGGAAACTCTAAAAAGCAGGAAGAAATCAGATTACAGTCTAAATAAAGTGAATGCCCCTATCTTAACAAATACAACGTTGAATGTAATAAGACTTGTTGGTAAGTAGCTACACATTTAAAAACAAAGAAAAAGAAACATTATAACAGTTAAATTAGTTTGTTACTGAATGACTTTTACTTGTGGTTTTCGTTGTCTGGTATACTGCAGTGCTCTCTGCAATAAGGGATTTAAGGTTATCATATGTCTATGCTTCTCATTTTAAATGTTCCAAATACTATACTACTAATAGTAATGCCAGTTTCTCTTTTTAAGTTACCTGTTTATTAAGTCTTTGTATCTTCCAATTTTTCTAAAATATTTCAGTTAATTGAAATGTGATGAAAAATTCTCTAGGTAGGTTAGAGGTACATGTAAGATAAGATAGTACCAGTTTCACATTTATACAATATTTTTCTTTTTTTTTTTTTTTTTTTTTTGAGACGGAGTCTTGCTCTGTGCCCCAGGCTGGAGTGCAGTAGCGCGATCTCGGCTCACTGCAAGCTCCGCCCCCCCGGGTTCACTCCATTCTCCTGCCTCAGCCTCCCGAGTAGCTGGGACTACAGGCGCCCGCCACCTCGCCCGGCTAATTTTCTTGTGTTTTTAGTAGAGACGGGGTTTCACCGTGTTAGCCAGGATGGTCTCGATCTCCTGACCTCGTGATCCGCCCGTCTGGGCCTCCCAAAGTGCTGGGATTACAGGCTTGAGCCACCGCGCCCGGCCGCCATTTATACAATATTTTTCTACTTTGTTGTTTCATAGATCTTTACAGTATTCTGTCAGGCAGAGTGAATAGTGACTTTCTGACATTTTCAGACTTAAGGGATTTACAAGCTAAATGTTCAGATTATAGGAAATGTTGTTCTTATTACAGATAAGACATTTATTGATGATTTTGTAGAAGGGAAACAATATGAAGAAATGACATTTTAAATATTCGGGTTTGAGGATGATGTGGATTTTTTTTTAATGTCAGTATTTCAACATCTTGTATGTTTTTAGCCTTTCTATCTCACTAATAAGTCTATCTATTTGACAAATAAGTTATAGAGATGTCTTCTCATATTAACCTTCATTATTCCAATCAGGAATTTTAGTGGTTTTCTATAAAAATCTCTATCTATGGAGATGGTATTTACCTATTGCCTTAGCTCTGTTGAAAAAGTCCGTGTTCTTTAAGATAATTATTAAATGTAATTAATGAATAGGATAAAATGTATAGAATGCTTTTTAGGAGTCACGGTTTCTCTAGAAAGAGCAAAAAATGTTACTGAACTGAGAAGAAAAGAAAGATACATTTTCATGATGCTCAGAAAAAAGGATAGATTCTAAAAAGCTATTCTGTGACTAATTATTGCCAGAAAACTAAGCTTTTCTTCTTCTTCCAAGAGAACTGACTGAACATAGTGTCAGAAATAACTCTCTAGAATTTGTAGAATCAGAATTGGAAGAGTGCTGAGAGGTCATTGGTGTAAGTTCCCATGAAGTCGGTTGTCTTTCTGTAATGTCTCTAATATGTGGTGGCTGTCTAGCTCTGTTTCGTGATTCCCAGTCATTGGAAACTTAGTGGTTTGCAAGACTACTCATTCTATCATTAGAGTGATCTCATTAGTAGAAGTCTCTTCCCCAAGGTAAACCAAAACCTGTCTCTCTGTGTTTCTAGCTTTTGGTCTGTCCTTTTGGTCTAAGAGTTCTGCCCTTAGAAGCAAGAAGAATAAGTTCATGCTTTAAAAAAATTTTTTTTTCTATTTCTATTTATTCTGTTCTATTTCTTTTATCTTCTATTTCTTCTATTCTTCCATGTGATCACTTTTCAGATATGTGGTGGTAGTTGTCCTGTCCTTCCTTTTCTCATACCAACCACCCCACAATCCATTTTTCAGGCTTCATGGGCTCAGTTCCTTTATCTTGTCCTCACTGATAGAAATTCAGACATTTCAGAATAATTGTCATCCTCCTTAGCCTTCTAGACTCAGCACTTTTCAGTGTCTGAACACATCACTTGAGATGTAGTCAGCTTTTGCTAGATTATGTTGAAGTAACAAGCAGCTCTTGGTGCATCAATGACTTTCAACCACAAAGTTTTATTTTTCACTCGTGATACGCATTGTCTCCTGATTATATGTAGCTCTGCTCCGTGTGTCTCTTCATTCTAAGATGTAGGTTGAAAGAATAGTACCAACCAATCTGGAAGATGGGAAGAAGAGCAAGAGCAAACTCTGTTATGACTCCTGAAGCTTCTGCTTCCATGTGTCACCCTTGACTTCCTCTGACATGTCATGGCCAAAGCAAGTCAGGCTTGGCAAAGAGAGGGAGAAGTATGCTTCTGCCACAGGAAGCACTGCAAGTCAAGAAAAGTGGGCAGGACTGTATCATGCTCTTATGGGAAATTGGGAAAAATAATATAATTAAACACATCTAAACAGTTGTTTATATTTTTTTACCTTACCTAGTTCAAAAGGGGCTGGAGGTAGTCATGTTGCTGTTTACTCTGAAGGCATATTTTCATAATAATCAAATAAAATAAAATACAAGGATAAGGCAAAGTTGAGGAATGGGCACATCATGCTTTATCATATCATATTTAATGCAGACATCAAATACAGTGCTTAACTTCTTGGTAGGCATAAAGGAATTCACAAAACAATGTATTCCACTATCCTTATTATCTGTGAAAAAGATACAGGCCTTTATAATAATGGTAGAAATATGCTCCTGGTGCTGAATTCAGACGATAGTAACAACAAATTCTTATATGAAGATTGCTGATCAACATAGTGGGCCTTGCTTTTGAACAGTGGGTTTATAGGAACTGAGAAAAGCCACATTCAAGAGCCTTTAAAGTATGGCACAGTCCTGAATAAAACCTTACTCTGTGAAGAGAATTTAACTATTGCAATTTCAGCTTTCTACACTACCATATCTTTTACTGGACTTGCAATTAGGAAACAATGCCAAGTATGACAATTTAACTTTTATATCTTTTCATTTAGGACTGGGATTAGGTGCTGCCATTATCACCTCAGTTGGGATCCCCAGTAGACTTTTATTCTTATCATTTTCTCTCTCCCTGGGATGTTTTTATCTTCAGTTTTTAGATATATACAAAACAGAACTTTAAGGAAGCCACTGTCTCAGAGGTCTCTGACTAGTAAATGCACTATTCCATCCATTGTTGTTATTGCATAGAAGTGCCTGAAGATTATAAACTGGCAAAAGTCATGCCTCTTCCTACAAAGGGAGAAGTATGGTTATGTAAATAAGACAGATTAATTTTTGATACTTGAGAAGATGAAGAAACTAATTATTGAGTATTTCGGAAACACATATTAGAACATTAAAGGCATATTTAAAATGTCCCTTTCAAGTAGTATTTACTTGGCAGATAATTAGCAGAGAGTAAACAAAAGAGTGTTAATGGGGCTCCCTTACCCCAGGTGGTAACTAAATTTATTAGAAAGGCTCAGGGAGGCTTTGCACTAGTGGAGAGAACTGATCAGAAGACTTGCTTGTATTATATAAAGAGAAAATTCTGTCAGCCTGATGGTTTCTTGCAGACAGAGAAAGAGAAATTTTAGGAAATGTGTCTCATCAGTGAAATAGCCTTGGTATTCATGGTTCTCTCTCCTGGAGACAGCTCTCACTTGAGCAGGTATGATAGGTCTAAGGAGCAGGAGCTAGATTACCGAAGTCCATGCTTATAACAACTGCCGACAACAACAAAATTACCACTTTAGTAGCTAGAAAAAAATATACCCTAGCACGTGCATCAGTATTTAAAATGAAAATAGGATATGTGTATCTAAGGGATATTTAGGTGTAATATATATTCTTTTAGGTATAATATACATTCTTTTCCTTGGGGGAAGCTAAAATACTAGATGACAGACTGTTGAAGTTTCCCAGCACTTTAGTTTGCTGGCATACTCTTTATCATTGAGCATTTTAAATTGAAAGGTAATGCATGAAAGTGGTTAAAAATTAAAATACCGCAAGGTATAAGCAGAGCCCCTGAGCTGCAAATCTCCTTCCCCAGACAAAACGACTCAGTTTCTCCTGTTTTCTTCTGGAAATATTAGTGTTAGTACAAATATATTTAATATGTGTATCTCCTCTTTCCTATTTTTTTGTTGTTGTTTTGTTTGTTTCGAAAATTGGATTACACTATACTGTTTTTATCTGGCTTTTTTACTTAAAATATCTTAAGGTTACACTTAAAATAACTTAATGTATTACTTATCTTAGTATGTGTGGATTTCATTCTTTTTTCCTATTGTATAGATGTAATATGATAAGTGCCACAATTTATACGTCTTCTACTTTTCAACATATAGGTTACGTCATTTCATACTACAAACTGCGACAGCAAGTATCCTTGAAGAAATATCTTTGTGCATATACCGATAGAGCTATAGAACAAATTCCTATAAATGCTTCCTCTAGCTGGATGAAAGAGTATATACATTTCCAGTTTTGATGGACATTCTCAATTTACCAATGAGGTTACTAACGAGCTTACTAACAGAGTTCTGTTAGTTTACTCATTCATCAACAGTATTTGAGGGTAGCTCTTTTCTTAGTCTCAGCAACACTGTATATCCTCCAGCTTTGGGTCCTTGCTAGTCTGATAGGTTAAAAATGCCATCTCATTCAAAAATGTGTTTAATTATGAGTGAATTGAAGCATCTTTTCATATGCTTAAAAGACATTTCTATTTACTTGCGAACTACTTATATCCACTGCTCATTTTTATGTAATAAGGAAATTATAGGTTTTAATTTCAACATTAAGGAAATCAGTTCCTTTTTTGCCATGTATATTGCATCCATCAGTTTTAGTCCAACAGATTTTTTGTTTTTTTGAGTCACTACTTTGTTTCCAGCTAGCTGTTGGAGATACAGTCATGAGGAAACCATAGTCTTTCTACTTAAGGAACCCAACGAGGGAAATAGCATACAAATAAAAAAATTTACAGTGTGTTGTTATAAGCATAAATAAACAGAAAAGAGGCGAGAGAAAGAATGATGATTAATTTTCCTTTTTGGGTGGGAAGTGAAAGGAC